GAGATTCTTTCCCCATTATGCGTGCGCTACCTTGTCTTTTTTGTGGCATTTTCCGTGAGTATCCGTGCACATGTAGCACATTTGCCGTGCATGTGAGCTTTGACCGAGCCCCCCCTCAATTTCTCCGCCACGTTCGGTTTTTAAGTGGGACTTAGGGGAAATTCATACATTTTACTCCTTTTCATCCCATAAGTGCCGAGAGATTTTAGAGTGTTAGTGAGAGTTGGCGTGAGATATTCGGGAGCGAGTACCGAGAGTTCACGCGTCCGCGAGCCATCGCGAGCAGCAGTCCGAGAGCACGAAACGCCACCGCATTGCTCGCACACGCACCCGCGGAGTCATCAACGGCCGAGAGCTCGGGAGTTGAATAGCTTAGCCTCCGAAGTTTATAAGAGGTAAGTTCCGTCGAGTATATGACCAAGTATATCATGTTCATGTAAGATTAAATGAAAAATGTTCATGCATGCGTGTTTTTATGCGAAGCCATGCGTCATAATACATGTTAAGTAATTTCACCGAGTCATGTTCGTATCTTCAAGAAATTCACCGAGTAACTCTCGCATGCATAGCTTTTATATGCGAAAATGTGCTTATATGAACTCATGTATTCGGTAGAATTTAATCATGTTATAGAGATGTTCGGCCGAGGATAACGTGGCCGCGCACGTAGCGCGCCACGGGCCGTGCATGCATGTCCGTTATGTTAAGTTCATATTTTGCCGACCAATGCCAGCATGTTTAGCGTTTTTTGAGATATCATGTTTAAGTGTTCGAATGTTTAGCCATGTTATCGGGAGTTTGGCCGAGAGGGGTGTGGTCGCACACCTAGTGCGCACCACGGGCCACCCGAGTACCATTTCATGTTAAGTTATATCATTCGGCCATTAGGTGTTATTATGCTTAGAATATCATGTTTATGTTCAGTCATGTTAGAATTGCCGAGAGAATATATGAGTGGGTCGAGGAACGGCGCAATGCCGTCGGCGGCGCACGGCGCGCCCGCCACGACCCAAG